ATTTACCTACAGTATAATTATCTTACATAGTTTCAGACGAAACCTGCAAAAAACAAAATAAACCTTAAACATGGTAGTTTTATAAACATGGTGGTTTTATTGGGTGAAGATTAAACCTATTACACCAACATGGTTCGCAAACTCTGCACCCCCCTATGGTCACCCAACCAGGACCTGGCCTGTTGGCACAGCCGCAACATGACCTTCCAGCCCAGCACGACTGAGCGCTCCGAAGGGTTCTCTGTCAGCTGCTTCATCACCTGATTTAAGGAGCGGCTCAGCAGCAATCTACAGCAGCAATCTACAGCAGCGGTTTGGCAAAATATCATAGCAACAACCCATAGCATGTGGACTTTGTGAAGTGAACGGCCCCCAAGTAGACCGCGCACTGCAACAACCCATAGCAACAACCCAGCAGCCATTTAGCATGAGTTTAGCAATCCGGAAGCAGCACTTGTGCTGCAGCTGCTGCTGCAGAAAGCATTTGCAGCAACTAATTACTCTAGAATGGTTTCACCCCGAGCACAGCGACATTTAACCACTTGACTGGACTTGCTCGGCGGTCACATGAATGAGTCAAGCATGACAAAAGAACAATTTCACCAGCATACCACAAGCTAAATGAAGCAGTATTTACTTCAAAAACATCATGTTCTATCTCATGCGACTGCTCCACAGCACCTAAACGCAGGGTGACTTTCCCAGCAAGTCTCCCACAACGAAACGCAAGAGTTTGGATCGGGAGATCCAGCCCAGACTCCACGCCTGCACATAGACTTCATCTGCCAAGCTGGGGCTTGTCTTGGCCATGGTCACGATGTCCTTTTGGCGCCATGCAGCATTTTAATAAAGTTGCGACTGGTGACGGGTGGGGCTTGTTTCATGGGGCTAACCAGGTAAACCCGGTAAACCCAATACTACACCATCTCCAAGTTTGGTTTATTGTTGGGTATGCCGCTTGAAATGGGATGTAAAATGACTAAATAGTTGCTGATTGAGATGGCTTACTATCGGGTCTACCACCTTATCCGAATAAGTGTTGGCTAATAGAAAAAATAACAGTTTTACTAGAATACAGTATCTATTTAGATAATCAATGATAGTAATATACATTGCATGGGATGAATTTGGATACGCATGCCCAGTTCAATAATTGGGTCATGATACAGTTCACTATGTGTGCAAGCCCAATAGTCCCATTTCACTGGGATGGAACACAACTACTGTAAGAAATCTGTTTGGAATGTTTGGAATTGTAACTCCAAACTATACTCATGTTAGGCTAGCCTTAAAGAAACGCTGTTTCCAAACTAAAGATTGGTTGATATAGTACACTCTTCTTTGTATGAAATACCCCCCAAAACAAAACCCAGCTTTAGTATTGGATCACCCAAATTTTGGGGGCTGATGGGGGCTCAACAGTTGTTTTTCTAAGATCGAGGGATGGGAGATCATCGAATCTGCTCCCTCCTCGCGGAAACCCAGGCGTTGACATTCTGGCAAGGGTCGGTCACCCATCCAACCTGGTGGGGTGCCAGTTGTGCACATGCGCCGCGGACATTGAAAATGATCAGATGGGGATGAATGGGTATATAATATATATATATATATTACATTGTATAATATGCTGTGTATATAATATGTGTAATTATAATTAGTTACATGTTATTTTGCTGGTCCCAATGTGTTTGAAAACAACTGCCGAATCAATGGTAAAAAATCTGGGAAATCACCAGGTGGGACGAGCCACTTTGCGAACTGACGATGTCGCCCAAGTGACCCACACTGATTTCAGATGGTAGTGATCATCCAAGGGTACAAGTGAACATAGGGCTGAAGCCACCAAGCTGAAGAACGGCCATCAAAATACACCCTGCATCAAGAAATTGCCAGATACTAGGGGCACATGCCCTTTGAGACAAAGCTATGTGCCTACATCATTTCTTGTTGGTTATCTCTACTCTACCCACCATATCCTAATTGGTTCCATCTCACAATCATAAGCAACATGATATCCCAATGTCATAAGCAACATCCCAATTGTTTCCTAATTGTATCTTGAATTACTTCCCAATTATATCTTAATTCCCCGTTTGACGCATGCTGGTTCAATCCCCATGTTGGCGCTAAATCCGGCTGGTTTTGTAGCCCTCGGAACGAGCCGTGTTCAATCCCCATGTCTTGCTTAAGAACGGGATTGCCAGTTACATGGATCAGAATATATCAGAATAATATATAATCATCCCCACTTTAAAAAGGCTGATTCTTTATATTTCCATGATATTCCCAAAATTCTATCCCCTGAACTCTTTGGTTTCCCCATGAGGACATCCAACAATTCCACCGTCAGGTGCCACATCCAAAATGCTGTGGAAGCTTTGAATCGCGATTCGGACCTCGCTGGAAGAGACCTCGCTTTTCGGCTGGAAAATCCCCCGAACTCAATGGAGGTTTAGTTCGCTGGGAAAATCATCGATAAATGCTGGCTTTTACATTGCCACGGTTAAAAAAATCGGAGGGTAACCCCCAAAACGATGGAGGAGGAACCATTTGATCCACTACTCTATCCTGTATATTGGGATAGTTATCCAGTACTAAGGATCTTTGGTGAGGTCAGATGAGGTCACAAATTACGATCTTTTTGGTTCTTACTTTCCAAGTTACATGGGAGATTCTCCAAAATGTTGGATTCTTAGATGGGATTTAAATATTCATTGGATTGACTTGGGGGGTTGTACAAGCTTTACCCGCATATTTGATGAGAAAAACTCTCATTTCCCTTTGACCAATCCAATCAGATAACAGAACGTGGGTTTTTTCCAACGCTGGTGACGCTCACCGACATAAGGATTTAACCAGCCCAAATTGTGATGTTTGGATGGCTTTAAACAGAAATGGGGATACCACTAGTATTCAATAGATTGAATGGAATCATCCAGAAGCAAGCAATGAAAACCCTCAGTTTTTGTGGCCATCATGGGGAAAATGAGGGCAAACCATTCAGAATACCATTCTATGCATCCTCCGTGGGATCATGTTCCCCACAATCGATGGACAAACACGCAACTCCTTGGGATATGAAGTGTCATCGAATCACAAGATATCACTTGTGATACTGTGGATGGAAGAAATCCTGCACCAGTTGATAGATGGTTTATCCCATTATTTATAGGGTTTCAACCATCCAAGGTGGTGCAGGATTTCTTCCATCCACAGTATCACAAGATGACCACTGGCAGTTTAGTACTAATGACCATTCGATGACACGTTGTATCATCCAAGTTCTTGAGCTTTATCAATGTCCAATCCCTTGGACGGTTTGGATGGCTACCCCCTTTTAGGAAAGCCACATATCCAATGATCACCCAGTGATCAATCATGATAAATCACCATTATTTATCACCATAATATCAAGATAATGATAAATGATATGGTTGAGATGGTGATAATGGTTGATATCATGATAAATCACCATATCAACCCCCATTTCTGCTGTGCAACAATTCTACCCACATCTATTTGCACCAATGCGATTTTGTTCAGCACCACATAAGTGTCTTCTTCAGCACCAGGGATCTGGAACACCACCCACTTCCCCCATAAAACGCGGACCGGGTGCATTGGTCAAAGCGTCCTTAAGGTCAAGTCTAGTGCCGGAGCATTGTCTCTTCTTCTGGCCGCAGATGTTTGGTGGATGTTGGTATCCTTGAGAAAAATCATCTGCAATTGAAGGTGGGTTTTCAACATCTATGTGAGTTTCCAGGCGGGTCACGTTTGCTGCTAAAGGAATATCTAAGGGCATTTTTTGGGACTAGCTAGTCACTGTCTTTCTGGATACCAATATGAGAGCTGCGTGGAGCCGTAAATCTTGAAATCCCGGAGCTCCTTTAGAGCTCCGATTGACCTTCATAAAATGATCGGTGTCGTCGGTGTTATGCAATTATATACCATCATTGACATCGAAATAGATCCAAATCAGTAGATAGGTCAAGTTGGTGATACCTTTTTAAGAAACCTATGCACTTTCAAAACGCAAAATGACCATCGCTCGTTGCCACCATGCCGGGAACGCTGTTCTCTGCCGGGCCCAGCATTGTAGCCTGCCGAAGGTGAAGGAGATACCCGAAAGATCCCGAAAGGTGTCATCTACATGACTGAAACCCCCAACTAAATGAGCATCTGTATACATATACTGGGTATCTGTATATCGGAATATACATTTAATTAGTTCTAATTACATCATTGATATATTATATATACTAATACTAGATATTATATATATATATATTGGCCCGGTGTCTGGTGGTCCCCCCCTCCCCCACCCCGAGATGGGGATGATCCCTAGATGTATATTATGGAGTTATATATATATATATATATAAGACTATACAAGTATACGTGTGTATCTATATGTGTATGTCCATGCATCCCCCCCTGGGTATAGTGGGGCGGGGGTGTTGGGGGTGGGGGGTGGTGGGGTGGGCCATGAACACGAGACACGGGACGACATATAAATATATATATATAATGTAACATATTATGTGTAACAATTAAATTATATATATAATATCATTATATATATAATATATCATCATATATATAATATATCATCATATATATATAATATCATTATATATATATATATCAGATAATCATATATCATATGGTGAGCAAGGTCGGGTGAACGTTAGCATCACCCCACCCCACCCCATGTGAGGGGTGGGGCAAATGGTGGGCGTTACGTCTAAATGGGGGATTTTCCAGCAAACCATGTTTGATTACCAGAGGGTAAAACTTGAAATGACATGTGAAAGCTCCACATTGAAGAAATCATAGCGAGCCGCAAGTCCTTGCAAATTCTCAGCTGCTTTGGATTCCCATCCGGGGACAGCACTCGAGATGGGAAATGCACCAGGTCATCAAATGTTCTTCACTTGGTGCAGAGAACACACCATAACCACAATCCATTCTCTCACGCTTTCAGAATCAGCTCCAAAAGCGCGAAAGGAAGGAAGAGGAGTTTTCTTGCAATGTCCCTGGTTGAACGAGGAGAACTTTGGTGACAGCGCCGGTTGAACGATGAAGGTTAAATATGAGGTACAGCCCAAATCATCCCAGGCGCAATACCAACAGAAGTAGCGTAGCTTGTACTGTACCCCCAGAAAAACCTAAGACTCCCAAAAATCCATGGAGCAGCCTTCTTATGCCCTTTCCAAATCTCAGGGCTCTTGAGTCCTCTGCCAAAACAGAATGTTTGGGCACAATGAAAAATGGGTGAGGATTGTGGATTTCAGACAGCTTCAATGTACAGTACTTACTCAAGAACACGATCCTGGAAAGTTGGATTGGTCAAAAAAATACTCTTCTTCTCTTGTTGATTCACTAAACATAAAACACCTGACAAATGACAGAATACAAATAATATATAACGTGTACATATAACTACATATATAAAAGCATATAACATACATCATATCAACTCTTCCATGTCAGCTATCCACATTTTTTGGGCGGCTCGGCTCCTTCAAAGTCCTTCAGAGTGCTAAAGGCGGCGTCCACCAGTTCCATGTCCTCCATATTGGCCTAAAGGCGATCTGCGGATCTGGGCTGAACCGAAGTGAATCTCCGAAGTCTCAGCGACATCGCATTAGTGCATAGAAATAATTCATAATACGTTCATATAATATATATTAATATAATATATATATATACAAATATGTATATATATATATATATTATGTATATGTATATGTGCATACGTACGTATGCATGTATGTATAACTTATATATATAATATGTGTATATGTGTATATATAATGTATATATATACGATTATATAATGTATATATATATATATATGTGATATATAATGATATATAATATGTGTATATATATACGATTATATACTGTATATATATATGATTATATATGTGTGTATGTAAATATTTTGTATATATATATATTATTTCAGTTCAGTGTTAGTTCGGGGGATCCATTTCAGTTCAGGGCACATATCATCACATCTGGCTTTTGTCTGAAAGTATAGGGCATACCTAAATTCGCTGGTTCGTCATCATTTCCCGATTCAATGGCCATAAACTGAGGATTAACTGAGGTTATTGTACACACCCAAATATCAAATGGCTGATGGCATATATCCCATCGCTGTCCCATAAAAAATATCATATTATATCATATTATATCATATTATATCATATTATATCATATTATATCATATTATATCATATTATATCATATTACATCCCCGCTATAGTTGGTTCTCTCCTCATCACTTTCCCGTCGTTCGCCCTGACTGCGATGGCACCATTTCCACGAAAACGTTGCCCTTGATGGTCTTCCGTGCTCGATGCCTGGCTGAAATGCAGCGAGTGCTGGGGAAAACTGGGGAAAACTGGTCATGGGGAGGTTCAACGGATAAACATAGAGAAAAAAATGGATGGTATTCATCCCAAAATAGGGTTGAAACATGATGAAAATCATTTGGACAAAAATTAAAACTACAAACCAACCTTTGATAGGAGCACATTGTCTTTTCTCCTCAGCATGGTTCTGAGATCACGTATAACCGTAAAAAAACACTAAAACACTGGCGCTGATCATCCCACCTCACGGACTGCTGCATGGAATCTTTGGCAGAAACATACTCCTCCGTTTTGTCCATGTCCAACCTTAGGAACTGGTCAGCCAGGGCCATTGGCAAGCCACTACCCAACGGCTTAGACGAAAATCTGCCTCACAGCGCTGTGCAAGTCAATCAACATCACCTATGAACCTATATGTCAAACAGTGATGTTTGATACAAGTAAAATCCAGTAAATCACCAGTGAAGCAGTGAACCAATCTTCCGCGGTGATTTTCTGTCATATTTCATATATTTCATCTTGATTCATGGAAGATCGCCGGTCGCCGTGAGTTTCCCGGAGAGTTTCCCTGAGTTCCCCTGGCTCCTTGGCACGGTGGAGCACATTCTGGAGACGCTTCAGGACCTTCCAACAGATGTTGCAAACCGTGGGTATATTGCAATCAATTAAGGATTTAACATGATTTAACCCAGGATTTCACCAGCGCTTTCGCAGAGTTTTATGGGATTTCATGGGCATGTAGTGGGATATTTTTTTCTGGGATATCTCAGGTGGTTCTTAAAAACTGGGGATTGTAACCCCATAAAGGGTCGTTTAATGGAGAAAATGATAAACCATGAAAATGAGGCGTATTATATTTTCGGACAAAGCCGTTATAGCTTGGCAATATTGATATCTTGGCCAAAAAAGACATCTGTCTTTGAAGGAAATGGGCCGAAAAAGATGTCCACTGAGGGAACATCATCCTAGGTAGGCATGAATCAGCTACCTGACTGGCTCAAACCGCCTATAGGAATGAATCCAAGAGATCCTCTGTGATTCCTGTCGGAATTGGATGGTTTCCAGTACTCAAAGTCACAAGTCACCATCCCCTTTACTTTGTACATTCCGCATTTTTGGGGTGAAATCCTCAAGTATCATTAAGTCATTAAGTATCGTATGTTTTGTAAACTAAAAATGTGAAATGACCATTTCTCGAAGTCCCCGTTTTTTCTGGGATCTCCTGCCCTTAGGCAGTTTGATTATATCATCCACGCACTGGAAATCCGGTTCTTAACCAACCAACCATTACTCTCCGGCAATCAAACATGGCAATGGGAGTTTTCCCATGGATCAATTTCCCATTTAAAGGCCCATTTATAGTGGAGTTGCCATTGCCGTTGCTATGACCAGAGGGTAGAAAGATTAGAATCCCCATTGTTCATTGTTGAATCCCATTAAAAACCCATGAAATCCCATAAAACCCCCCTTTAAATTCCATTAAAACCCTACGAAATCCCATTAATCCCATTGAACCCCGGTCATTTCTTTTGTGTCCATCCTTTTCTGCCTCAGAGTTGTTGTCTCGCTTCAACTCCTCCTTCAAGTCCGTGAGCATCGCCAAGAGACTAGCCTCGAAAACTATCAAATCTGCATATCATAGCACATACATATATGCACATACATATATATATATGGCATAGTATGGTTAGTCTATGTTGACCACAACTATCTATACATTTAATAGAGTATAATTGTTTGACTTCGGCCTCAACTCCTATCATATAATTAGTCAATGTATGAAGTAATCCAACTGGCGCCAGTGAGATTATGGGGCCGCGGGGCCAAGCAAGTGCGGTGCATCCAGGGATGCAGTCAAACTTGATGGCGTTCAAATAAACAAACCGTATGTTATGAATATATGGGTATAAGTATAGCAACCCCGAATATATATTCGAAAAATGAAAATTGAAAGGTACAAATCATCCATAATCCGGCAAGGTCTTTTTGTCTTTTGGGACCTCTACAAATCTTAATGTTTCACCCACAGCCATTCGGTAAGTAGTGTGTTCCATGGCAAGCACTTACCAATGTTCGCTGGATATCCTCCAATGGCCATCAAGTTTTGGTGCTTTTCCGCGTAAACTCAGATGCCAATTGGCGCCTGTAGTACGACCCACAGACTCCCAATCAACGGCCTGGGTGGACATCTTCTCAAGCAATTCCTCCCAGCTGCAGGGGTTTCACCCTTTTCAACATTCTTTGGTGACTGGACCGGTGATTTTGAAGATACTTGTGCTGACAGGATTCGTGCGCCCAGGCATTTTCAGCACCAAGAATTAACACATCATCTATAGGCATATATACGTACGTACGTACGTTTGAGATCTATTTTTGAGCAACATGGTTCAAAGCAGCTCCTTGGCTTTGTCCAAAGTCTCAGAGGGCTCGAACTGGTTCGTTGCCGCGATTCCCAGGCCTACCCGTCGTGACTCCAATCGGACAGCTGGAAACGGCAAGACATTTGTCTATTTCTCACCCCATCGTAACATACAATAGACATAGGGTGATCATTTGGAGTACAATTACTTCAAAGCAGGATGGAACGTGGAGAACGAAGGAAATACGTATACTATATATATAGGATTATATAGGATACATACATACACAACAATACCCACATATATACTTACATACTGTATGTACGCCCCGAAAGTCCCGTGCCTTTCTGCAATTCCTCGAAGTCGTACTGATGGCACGCAGCCATCAATGCCATCAACGCCTCGACGAAAAAGGGCACTTTCTGCAGGGGTGAATAAGCACATTGCAGAGAAATAATGTGATGAGAAATGGGGATATATAATATACATATTTTTTGAGTATATGTATAATATATATATAATATTATAATCTATAATTATCTATATATATATATCCCATAGGATCCATGTATGCTATATATGGTAACATTTACCATCAATATATCCCAAATTTTAGCATCTATGTATATATACATACCATACATGGATCCTATGGGTATATATGTATATATATATACACACAATATTTTGGATTACAATAATTGGATCGTAGCGGATAAAAATAATGGGTGATTCTATATCCAAGTATACATACATGTTTGATGGACTATAATTTTGTATAAATATACAACCAACAATAGGGAGTATGTGGGCTTTGAGTTTTGACTGTGATCGTAGCAAGTGTCTGGTTTCGTCTGAAAATGGATCATTGATCACCAAAATGCGGCTACTTGGGCTACTGGGAAAGTGAAGATGATAAAGCATTTGGATTGGGGCTACTCTGATAAATAACATAAATATACCCCACCTGAAATACATTACTGGGCGAAGTCACTCTTTTGGGGATTGCCATCCCCAATTTTCATCAGCCAGGCAGGCTTCATCAATTGCCCACCATTTCATGATTTACAATTTACCCCGGAGTAATTATTCCCAATCTTGGAATAAGCCATATCAGCTTCCAAACTGCCCGCATTAGATCTCCATATCCAGCTGTTAAAAACCGCCCCAGTTCGACCCGCCTTGTTTTGGTCATCTTCACTAAAGCCAGTGATGGTTGCCTTGGTAGATGGCCATCTTGGACGATTTTCCATAGCAATGATGGGATGATGGCTTAGTATCTATGGAAATCATTGGCATTTAGCGTTTAGAAAATCACTTATGATACGTAGCAATGATGCAATGATTCGTAGTCTATCATAGGCATTTTGCGTTTAGGGTGTGTATCGTTGGCAGAAAAATCGGTGCATTGATACTCATACATGCTTCGTTTTTTGACGTTTGTGTTCATGTATCATCATATATTGTCATGTACTCTCGTCTGCTATCATATAAATCATACACGATCCATTTGCTACTGGACATGGTTCCCAACATCATAAATCCGTTACATGGCTGTCATAAGCCCCAAGTGATGAGTGTCCATCCTCAGTTGTGGCTTCACAGCCAATATTAAATGAACACCTTCAAATTGGGTAGGTATTCCAACATGATCTACCCGCCGGCAATCAAACATGGCAATGGAAAATCCAACCATTTATAGATCATGTTCCCATTAAAACCTTCATTTAGTTCGGGGATGTCCAATTGCCATGTTTAATTAGCGGAGGGCACTACATGTTGGGAATGTTCAGCTACTGGCTAATAATTATAGTTAATTATCACATACTGCGGATTGCGCTTCTCTCATTATCATAAGTCAAGAAGGCCATTTGATAATGGTATTAAACATGGATAAATGATAAAACTTGGATCAAAATAAGATTATCAGATAAATTACCATTCACGTCATTTCCTGATAAAACTTGGCCATTCGTCAGCCATTCGTCGGCCAAGATTGGCCAAGTCACACGCGACTTCCGCGCAGCTGCCATTTCTTTGGCCTTCTTCTTCTTCTCCTCAGCTTCAGCTATAGCTTGGATGAGATCCCACCAGTGGGAACACGGTGATGTAAAAAACACAAATGGCATATAATCTGGGTAAATTATAATATTTCACTAACCTGAATTAAGGCCATTTGGGGATGATTTCCCTTAATAACCATGATTCCAGTGAGGTCGCAGTGAGGTCGTTATAATTTACCCAGATATAATGGCATTGGTCTTGGATGCTTTGGATTTGTTTAAAACCCGAACCACAGACAATTTGCAACTTCGTGAGATACTTCGTGAGATGCTGATGTCAAACAGAAAGCCATCTCCATCAGATATCATCGGATAATTACTATCATCTCAGGGGCATTCAACATCATTCAACCAGCCAAAAGTGAAGCCAATACCAGTACTTTTTTAATAGATATTAATAGATAGTTGAGAGTCGCCCATAGAGCTAGTTGCTGCAGTACTTATCGTGCCCATCTGGTGAAATCTGCTGGTTGAATCTCATCATGGCTATGGCAAGATAACCCATCAAGATAGCTACGTTGTATAGCTGGATGTTCATCATTCCCAAAATCATGGTATGAACAGTATTAACATGTATCAACAAGTATCAACATGTATCAACAAGCATTAACATGTATCAACAAGTATAAACATGTATCAACAAGTATTAACATGTATCAACAAGTATTAACATGTATCAACAAGCATTAACATGTATCAACAAGCATTAACATGTATCAACAAGTATTAAACTTGTTCAACAAGTATTAACATGTATCAGCAAGTAATAACATGTATCAACAAGCATTAACATGTATCAACAGGTATTAACATGTATCAACAAGTATTAACATGTATCAACAAGTATTAACATGTATCAACAAGTATTAACATGTATCAACCATCATTAACATGTACCAGCAAGTACTAACATGTATCAACAAGCACTAACATGTATCAACAAGTATTAACATGTATCAACAAGTATTAACATGTATCAACAAGCATTAACATGTATCAACAAATATTAACATGTATCAAAGTATTAACATGTATCAACAAGCATTAACATGTATCAACAAGTATTAACATGTATCAACAAGTATTAACATGTATCAACAAGCATTCACATGTATCAACAAGTATTAACATGTATCAACAAGTAGTAACATGTACCAACAAGCATTCACATGTATCAACAAGTATTAACATGTATCAGTAAGTAATAACATGTATCAACAAGCATTAACATGTATCAACAGGTATTAACATGTATCAACAATTATTAACATGTATAAACAAGCATTAACATGTATCAGCAAGTATTAACATGTATCAACAAGCATTAACATGTATCAACAAGTATTAACATGTATCAACAAGTATTAACATGTATCAACCAGCATTCACATGTATCAACAAGCATTAAGATGTATCAACAAGTATTATTATGTATCAACAAGCATTCACGTGTATCAACAAGTATTAACATGTATCAACAGGTATTAACATGTATCAACAAGTATTAACATGTATCAACAAGCATTAACATGTATCAACAAGTATTAACATGTATAAACAAGCATTAACATGTAGAAGCAAGTATTAACATGTATCAACAAGTATTAACGTGTATCAACAAGTATTAACATGTATCAACAAGTATTAACATGTATCAACCAGCATTAACATGTATCAACAAATATTAACATGTATCAACAAGTATTAACATGTATCAACAAGCATTGACATGTATCAACAAGTATTATTATGTATCAACAAGTATTAAAAAGTATTAACATGTATCAACAATCATTAAAATGTATCAACAAGTATTAACATGTATCAACAAGTATTAACATGTATCAACAAGCATTAACATGTATCAACAAGTATTAACATGTATCAACAAGTATTAACATGTATCAGCAAGTATTAACATGTATCAACAAGCATTAACATGTATCAACAAGTATTATTATGTATCAACAAGTATTTTCATGTATCAACAAGCATTAACATGTATCAACAAGTATTATGTATCAACAAGTATTAACATGTAGCAACAAGCATTCACATGTATCAACAAGTATTAACATGTATCAACAAGTATTAACATGTATCAACAAGTATTAACATGTATCAACAAGTAATAACATGTATCAGCAAGTATTAACATGTATCATTAAGTATTAACATGTATCAGCAAGTATTAACATGTATCAACAAGTATTAACATGTATCAACAAGTATTAACATGTATCAACAAGTAATAACATGTATCAACAAGTATTAACATGTATCAGCAAGTATTAACATGTATCATTAATTATTAACATGTATCAGCAAGTATTAACATGTATCAACAAGTATTAACATGTATCAGCAAGTATTAACATGTATCAACAAGTAATAACATGTATCAGCAAGTATTAACATGTATCAGCAAGTATTAACATGTATCATTAAGTATTAACATGTATTAGCAAGTATTAACATGTATTAACATCGTGTATTAACACATTTTAACATGTATCAACTCAACAAGTATTAACATGCATCAACATGTATTAACATGTATTGAGACTCATATAGACTTATAGAGACTTATAGATACTTATTAAAGGTTTTAACTCGCACCCCAAATAGCTGAACCGTGCAGAAGGTCGAACGACCATCCAACCATCCAGACATGAAACTTTGATCGGTTCCCTTGAAACAAAAGCCTCCATTGCCTCGGCCGGAATGAATTTTGGGTTCTAATATGTTCTAATTATATCGCATCATATCCCATGATATCCAATAATATCTTGGCTAAAAGTTGAATATCTTAAGTAAACAAAAACACCGGAAATCCTTGACAATGTATGAAAAAAAACTGATGATGTCCACGTTCCCACGTTCCGATGTCTGCGGCTTAGATGCTGCCTCCTCATCCACCTGCCAGGGGTCCACCAGGACTTCCAGCGGGGGTGACTCCATCTGAGAAGGGAGGACATTGGTTCTTGTTTCATCCTATCTACACAATTCCCCAGGTTCATGAATTCATGTGTTTTTTTTTCATGGAAGGGTGAGGCCCCATAGTCATAAGTTGGTTTATAAATACATATATATATATATATATAAAACGCCATTAAGATCCATTAAGTATGGTCAGTATTCTTTAACTTTGGAAGGTAAAATCACTCGACATCTCGGTAAGCTGGTGACCCATTTTTCTCCACCAGAGGCGCCTCAAAGGTCGCCTCTTGCTTGTTGGCTTTTTGCTGGTCCTTGATATATAGCAACCCCTCCAAAAAAAAGAAATCGAGGTTTGCTGAAATGGGGGTACCCCAAAATGAATGGTTTATAATGGAAAATCCTATTAAGATGGATGATTTGGGGGTACCCCCATTTTAGGAAATCTCCAAATAAAAAGTGCAAAATCCTCGAAAAATAGTGATAGGTATAAATGACTGTTCTATATTGTTGATTCTTTTTGGTGGGTGAAGAAAGCACATGGGGATGGGTACATGTCAATAGCTCTGGGACCATCTTTAGATAACATCCAAGACGAACTCCAGCTGTTCACCAGGATGAAGACCCTGAGAAAAAGGCTGCAGCCAGGATGCAAAGACCTGTTTGCTCGCCTCTTCTTTTTGCTTGGCACGGATCTCATTCTGCTTCTTTTTGGACTGGCAACACAACGGGAAGAAAATGCGCACTGGAAAACTGCACTGTAAAGTGGGTTGAAAGTTCTAGAAAAACTGCATTGAGTGGGATCCCTGCGACAGGATGCTTCCAACAGGCTCCAAGTGTTGACCCTTCCCTGGACCACTGGAGGGACAGTCACGACAGTCACGGCTTTCTGATATTTCCGACCAAAAACCGTCCTTTTGTGGGGTGGAATTATCCACTCCACATGTGGCGCAATGAAATTCAAAGATGTGTCTTTCCTCCTAGTAGAATGTGCACTGGATGCACCTTCAGTTTCTCCAGGTTGTCATAGACACGGCCAGCTAGCTCCTTACGCATCAGTGATGATGGTTTCCTACAATGATGGGTCTAAGTCCCAGGTCGAAGTGGGTTTATATGAACACAAGATATGCCCATTTACAACCGGCTGTTACAGCCCATCTATTATTTCATAATCATCTTGACTACTCTTGACATGTGGCAGGAGTGTGCAATGCAATGAAACAAACTGACAATGAGATGTGAATTACTGTACATATAGAAAAAAAGAAAAAGCGTCACTGAGACTGACTTACCTTTTGGCAAGGAGCCTCCAGCGCTACTGCACCTGACTGCAACCATTGAAAAGAGGGATGTCTTTGGTTGAGATCAAATAACACGAAATCTCATCCGATTTCTGCCCCAGAAAGTCTCCAAATTAGCCTAAGCCCTCCTCTTGGTCAACAGGAGAACCCTGGTTTGACACCCCAACAAGAAAATTGTACTGTAGTATATAAACTATATACATTGTCTGCTGGTGTTAACATCAACATTTTCTGATTCTTACAATGTCACCTGTTTCAGGAATGATGACAATACTGGTCGGTTCCCAGCTTCCCCCCCAAAAGTTTACTTCTAGTGGTGATGTATAAATCACATTAAAACACCAGTATCCCCAAAACTAGAAGTCAAAGGGAGGGGCCAAGAATTGCCCAAACAACTTAGGAAAAACTCGGGATGCACATCTCAAATCATAGGCCCCCCAGGCCACGTCCTCGCCATTCAACTCTCGGATCCAGTCCTGGCTCTTCCATGTTCTTCCCGCAATGGGAACTAATAGGAACCCTGAAAAAATATGAAGAACAAACAGTAATGGATCAATGACCATCCCCTATATGTCCAGCCCTTGATCATGGCTCATATCTTGGGCTGGACAACAAAATAGAACAACATAGTTAAGAGATATTGAAACTATATACCAACAGGCAAAATACCACCAAATCACTCACATCACCAACACTTCCGCGGAAAAAGTTCACCTTTTTACACCTCACAGAATTCTGCTGTCGCTTGTGCCTCTGGATTGTGGTGCAACTCCTGAGCTTTCACCTGCAAGCGAGTGAGCGAGCCTGGTCAAACTGTCCAGTGGTTCGTAGGCGGATTTGGTGAAAGTTGGGTTGGGGCCTCATCGAAGATTGTTCAAACTTGGTTTAAGGCAATGTTTTTTTGCATGAAAATGGGGTAAGGTCTCTCTGAGTCCTGACACTTCAGGTTGTCAATCCTTAACCGCTCTTCACCCGGCTACTTGTGTATCATTGGAGAGTCACATCATTTTCTTCCTCAGAGCGGTTTCGGGTCTGGGCGAAACGCGGAAATCGTGTGTCTAGACGCAAATGCCCTTTGCGAGAAAGAATCAAACACTGCATGGTCCAGTGAACGACAACAACCATCATGAACATTGATTGATTTCGTTCCATAATCTTACCAGGGTAGCTAGGGTCATTTCGAAAGTGTGCCCAATTCCAAGTGGAAGGAACATCACGTGAATGCCCAGGGTCCAGGAAATGTCTGGAGATATCCGACTGCCCTATAACTCTATGGTCTAACCCCATCCCCTAATATCAAATATTCATATATAGTATATACAATATGTAATTATATATATATAATTACCATTAATTACCCATGTCGGCCCCACAAATAAGTAGATACCAAACCAGTGGGGTTGGGTAGTATTTCAGATTAGGGAGAAGGAATTCTACACTGTTTCTACTGGATCGACTAACATCCCATCCACTACGGACCCGAGATGGGCTTTCACTGAAGCTGGCGCCATATGCATCTGCTCATTTTGAAAATAGCCTCATCAAATGTTCGAATCCTCATCAAATCTAGGTACCCTCTGGTTATGACTAACATAGCCATGGGAAATGGCCCATAGAAATAGCTATGTTAAATGGCTATGTTAGTCATAACCAGAGGGTATATACAGTAGATAGGAATAATTCACAAACCTGGAATAAGCCCAATCTGGGGATGATCCTTCCTAAACGGAAAATCTATGGATTTTGGTTGTGGGCTGAGCTCGTTAAGATTTAATTACCCAGAATCCATCAGAATCCAATGTTACAGAAATCCAACAAACTCTCCAGGGGAACCACAGGCAATTTGCCTCCAAGCGACAACATGGTGATGTGAAAAAACATACGGAAATAATTCTGATGAGCCTCCAGTAAATGAACAGAGACATAGAAAACCCATGGGAAAACAATAAAGTGGAATTGTCATATCATGTCCTATCATGTCGTATCATGTCATACCATGTCATATCATATCATGTCATGTCATATCGTGTCATATCATCTCATATATATATATATATATATATTAGTGTGACAATCATGTGACATTAAAATCTATTCAACCTCAACCTGGGGATATACCAAGATCCATTGTACTGTCCAGCATCGTGTTTTGTTCCAGACTGCATATAGCCTTGGCTTGTTATGGCATACACGCCCCAGGGTATGGCCTTCGGCCAACCAGCCGACGGCCGGGTAGCAGAGCGTTTCATCTGTCAGCTCCCAACTTCAAAAAACTTAGGGCATTGAACGCCTTACCAAAAGCCTTGGCACCGCTCAATTACCAGCCCTGCCTGTGCGGGGCTGGGCTGAGCGGCACTGCCAAGAATTCTGGGCTGCTACCAGAGCTACAACAAGGAGGCATAGTCCTGGACCGGAAAATTAAGGGAAAAAATGAAACCACCAAGCTGCTTTCCTCGTCCAACTTGTCAATGAAACTGTATTTAGAGCAACTTCCAATTCTCCAGTCCTGCTGTGTTTGATAAACACCGAAAAAAAAAATTGGAGACTCAACGGACCAACTTTCAGCTTGCTTTCGCTCGCGGATCTCTTGCATTGCACGAGTCGTGCAAGAACACCCAGCCAACAGCAAACAACGACATCCGTGGCTGTGTAGGTGCATGAATGCTAGGGGAACACCAAAAAAAAGTATTGCAGTATGAATTATGAAGCGTCCCTGATCCAAACAGTACAAACACTGAAAACCTCATCAAGGGTCGCTGAATCTTGACGCTTATATAGAAGTCAAGCACACAGAAGAAGAACAGTTTCGCCCTGCCAGGTAAAGATGTCGTTTCCAGGGAAACAGCGAGTGGCTGGTTTGGCGTCGGCGCCGGTATCACACCCATGTGTGGGTACCGGAGGCCCTCATGAATCAGGTTGGCTGTTGGGGGCTGCGCGAACAATGTGTATACACATATATATATATATATCTCTCAAACAGATGCAAAAAGTCCTCCCCAAATGGCCTCCTTTTGGAAGCTACATGATACTCCCATTGCTTACAAAACAGTATCCTGATTGACAAAAGGGTGCTGTCTATAAACCTAGAGCTGCTGGGACAGCTAGCGGCATCGGGTCCCTCTTCGAATCCCTTTCAAATTCCTGGGACTGACGGGGCCCTGCGAGGCGCAGATCGTGCCAGGATCCTTTCCATCGACCAATCCGAAAAACTGGTACCAAGACACCCATCATCCCAAGATGAGAAAAATAGTTCAAACCACCAAGCACCTAAACAGTTTCAAAACATAGTTTAACCGTTTAACCTAAATAATTACTTGTGAAATCTTGTGAAGTATAGAGTAGTATAGGATGGCTATCTACTTGTACTCCCAGCTATGCTCACTGTGAAGCATTGGACATCCATGGAAATCCATCTTGCTGGCAATGATCAAAGTACTCCAAATTGCACAGCTGCCATCCAACCAATCCTTTGAGGTGACTTGTTGCAGCTGGTTACCCAGCCCGAAAAAAAATGTGGATCTAGGGGTGCCATGGGTTGATTGATGTTGATTGAATATTGTAGGAGGTCATAAACTATGATCAAGTCAAATCAAGTCATATTTAAAGCTATTGAACTCCTCTTGAGATCCTGCCAGTATCAAGCCTCTGCCGCTTGCGAGGCAGTCCGCTTGCGGCTGCCTCACTTCGGCACAAGGTTTCCTCTGTTGCGGGATGTGAGAAGCGGTGAAGAAACAGCATCTCTGGATCTCCAAAGAAAAAAACTGCAATCGCCTGTACCAGTCGACGTATCGGACTCAGAATCCAAAATTCACTCCAAACCCTGTAAGTTCTTGAAAAAAATATCTCTCATAAAGGTATAAAGGTGACACAAAACTGCATTTCTCATAGAAATATATAGAAATGGCATGAAATGCCGCTTTCTCCCGCTCCATTTCCCGCACTCCTCAGCCAGGTCGGAGCTGGGCCCAGATCTGACCTCTGAGCATACTCCGCTGCAGGAAGGCTTCGAACCTGTCCCCACGAGTCAGTGGTTACCCCAACAGCCGAGAAGAAAACATGGGGAAACCCATGTTTACCCCAAGTAGATCCTGGATTTTCTAGAACGCCTTTTGAAAAAAAAACGATAATTACATATAAATTACCTGGTGCTAGTCTGATTCTGTTGCCATTCGCATTTTTTTTTGTTGGGGGATATGAGCCAAAATGCTTGAGCACCAGGTGAAACCAGCTAAAGCCAACGGCTAAGGGATGAGACTCTCCAAACATCTTCGCCGAATCTCAACAGTTTGGAACTGCTACTGGGGATTTTTTTGAGTGCTGTTTGTGATCTTTCCCAGTGATTTTTGGGAGTTTTTTCAGTTGTATCACAGTTGCTACTCAATAGTTTCGGGGATGATGTCTGTTGAATTATAGTTCACCAACCTGAAAATAGTTGATGTAAAGATATATAAAGCCATAATTATTTTTGGATAGATATACAGTATATTATGGTTTTATAATGTTGAATTATAAAGCCATTTGGGGATGCTTCCCCCCCAGATGACTCATACATCAGTCAGAACACAGGATCGATCCAGGCTGCGCCTCTGCCACAGACTCCAAAAGCCACGAGTGCTCACTGGACGTGGAGTGGGCGTTGGTACAGCCAGGCCTGCGCAGGCCGCGCAATTCTTGACTGTTCTTGGCATCTGGCATGAAAAAATCATGCCAGGGTCTACATTTGCTCCAAAAAGTTGGATGGTCGTCTACATTTGGATCCTGGGGATCCCCAAACGATGATCCAAGGGGGGCCCCCAGCTGGACGCTGATCCGAAGATCATAGGTTTCAACATGTGTCAACCCATTCCCATCAACCTGTTAATCATCATTTTCCGTAAAATCTAATGCCAATGTGAGGGTGCCGTATACCCCATTTGTAGGCAAACCCAATTACTTCATTTTGTTGGCCAATATTCCATTATATTACATTATATCCCTGTATATATATAATATTATATTATATGTTGTTGATATCTAACCCAAATTGTCCCAAATTATATCCACTACAGCATATCCCGGTATATCCCAATTTATAGCTGGGTTTTATGCCCTGATTAATGGTTGATACCGTTGATACCCATGAATAACCCATATCCCCCAAACCCACACCGCAGGGCCCCGCTCACCTGCGACGATGACATGACTGGCCGGCACGCGGGGTGCTACCTGGCAGATCGACCTAAGGTAGCCCCAAAGACCAACAACATCCCAAAAGACCATTGGGAAACCTTGAACGACTGGTGCAAAACAGGTAATATGTTTCATGATGTTTTATGTTTTGGGAATTGCTTTTGCATGTGTTTTCGATTCGGGGGAAGCCCACATTCGAATTAAATTCTGTGGGCACGCAAAAAAGAGCCAGCACATCATTGATACTGATACTTGGTTCTGGGAATCCGTTCCTGCTGGGGTTCAGCTAGGAAAAAGCCTGCATCACAACGCAACGATTGGCGTCTTCAGTGGCACTGCCATTGATGAGGTTGTCGTTTGAAACCTCCTCTGAATTGCGTCTCGGCCTCTTCCTATACTGTAATATGAAATCACTTCATTCAATGCCTCAAGGAAAGGCTCGTTGATGAACTGAACCTCCTCTGATGAAGCAGCACTGTTGTTGTAGTTTCCGGGACAGATTTCCATTAGGTATTGATGACTTCTGCCTTCACTCTGAAGAGTTCGTTGATGTAGGAGTTGGTTTCATCCAACTCACTCAACACCACAAAGGAACTGTCTAAAATCTTGTTCTCCGTGTTTGAACCCTGTCTCTGGCATCGCTGTCTGTAAAAGCGATATCAAGCTGTCCATTAAAGCTTCAGCAAATGGGACTTCCTTGGCTCTCACGTTTTGGTTGAGAAACTGCTTGCAGGTGCAACTGCCTTTACAAAAGCAGTTTGCACCTGCAAGCAGTGGCAGGTGATTCTTCAGCGTCATTCAATCCTAAAAAGACCTAAAATATCCATCCTCGATTCCTCCCAGCCGAGACCAGCGTAGCTTCCGATCATCTCTGCCATAAGGAACTGAGGCTTCTGATGGCCGATCCCACCATCAGATGCTTGAGCCTGCTTTCATGATGCCTGTCCACCTTCACACTTAATGACACTTAATGACCTGAAACGCTGGAGAGACCGATGGAAAAAAAATTAAAGAAAAAAAAACTCATCAAATCGTCAATAGCAATAATACATCCAACCAAAGCTCCGAGAGCAACAACAAATCATCCCCCTGATTCAAACCAAATATCAACACATCACTTTAGCATCAAATCTTTACCAGAAACCCAACGGGAAAAACATCAAAAGGTAACATATGGTAACATGAAATGTGTGTACCCAAATGTACCCAACATAAAATCATAACAACTGAACAATGAACATATAAGTCCCAGTATCCCCCTTTTCCATCCTTTTCCCATTTTCTGGGATTTGTGGATGCTAATCCCCCACCATTTACAGAAAATCATCGGTTTTAAGCCATCCCCCCCTTGTCAGAAAACCGCTGCCTCAACACGAGGAGGAGGTCTGCACAGTGCTAGCGAGCTCTCAGCAGTTGCGGCCTAAAGTTGCACCATTTCCCCCTCTTGTGGTTCTCATTTAGCTATGGCTTGGAGCAAGCCTGCATTATCTGCATTTGTTTGCTCATTTTTCGAAAATCCTATCCCTGGATCAAAAAAGATTATCTAACATATCAAAGCCTAAGTCATGGATGAAATACTATTGAACCGATCGTTCGTGTCGAGGGTATTGGATATGAACGGGGGAACGGAGGATCAAACGTCATCAGACCATATATCAAACTATCCGGTTTGGGGGGGTGATACTTTTGGCCCGCACTCACCTGAGCTGCGCCAAACTGGGTGATGTCACCCATGAAATGTTCCTCTTGATGCTTTGGGGTCATCAAGCACCCATTATTCACGGTGATCCCGGCAAATTGGGCAAATTGTTGATTTCTGAGATTTCAAACCAACTGTGGTCTGGATTTTTGTTTAAGATGAAAGTTGGGGACCAAACATCTTAAAGCTTAATAAAGTATATTATATATATATATGAGCATCGGTCTATAATGGTCTTTTTCAATGATGGAGGATGTATTATGTCCACAGAGTTCTTGTCTCAAACGATCACTTGCAGCTTCAGGTTGTTTTGAGCCAAGATATAAATTGACACCCTGAGCTGCTGGCTACACAGGCAATGAACAGAGCCAAAGCAGCTAGTAGTAGCCATGCCTGGTGCAAACTATCTTTGGGAGATGCAAAATGAAATTCCTGACTGGAATTGGCAGATGATGAATTTCCAGCATCTATAATACAGACTACATACGGACGCATGTTGATCAAACAAGAATTCAGGATTTGGCATTGCTGCTGAGTAAAATGTCCATGAAAACCTGAAACCAAAAGGTTTCCACTGACGAATTGCTAAGTGCCACACACATCTGGTCCTCCTGAAAGTAGCGGTAAGTGTGGTTGGACTTGTCCCATCTCTTGCAGGGTAGGGATTAGTTCTGGGGGCTTTAACTATGCTGGGTATTATGCTGGGTTCAACCAAAATTAGATACATTTATATACATGTAATGTATGGGATTGTCTGAATCCATTGCTCAATCATCATTATCCCCATTTTCAGACCCACGCGTATTTAATGACCTTTCTCTCCTCACCACCATTAATGGTGAGCCGCCGTGAATTCCGGCTCTTTCTTGGTGTCTGATGCTACAACCAGCCGATGCTACACTTGGGCGTGAGTGTTCCTTAAGCAAATGGGTCTGAAAATAGATGAAAAATGATGAAAATGGGGGATGGACCCGTGTACCCCAATCATCCCCAATCAATGTCATTTCAAGAGGGAACATGATGATTCACCATGAAATCTGGGGGTAACCTCCCCTATTCTTAGATCCTAAATATGGATGTCCTGTCACCATTGCCAGCAACTGGTGGTGGCCAGGTGACCATCGCCCCACAGACCCCGTCTTTTTCCCGGCGCACACGCTCTAAATGCTGTGAAATCCAACAATTTTGCAGATGGACTGGTTTGACTTCTCATCTCAAGTATACCGCTATAAACTCTTCCCAGATTCTTCACCAGTCCAGCTGAAGGCTCATTAACACCATTAACGCTGTCCCCACGAATTTTCAGTCAAGTGAGACACCACTTGATGTCTGGAATCGTGGAAGAATTGCTGTCCGATCAGTGCAATGTCCGAGCTGTTGAAACCTGAAAATGAAAAATATGAGCAAGTCGCAAAAATTAGGAGACCAATTAAAGAGTTTCTCAAAGATGGGGCTGTCCAAAAAATGGGGATTGTGCCACCTTTTTTATGGCCTTTGATGATATTTCATTGGGGAAAATATGCGGAAAAATGATGATGAACCATCAATCAAAATTTTGGGGTGGTCTATGTTCAATGCTCCCCTTATTCCCAGAAAGAATCATACATATGACATCTATGGATATTTCATGATATTTCTATGGGGAAAGCCCGTTCTTAAGTCACCTGCTCGACTAAGGACTGGGCGCAAAATGGCCATCGCCTGGGGCTTTTCAGTGAGCGCTGTGGCTGCGCTGGCCGTGATGCTTAAAATGACGGATATGAATCATATATTTAGCCATATTTAGCCAACAAAGATATGAATAATATTGAATAATCATGATGGATATTGATGGATCTGATGGATATTGATAAGAAAATATGTAAGATCTGTAAGTAACTCATATTTGATCTAATATTTATAGAATTTTATAGATATATTTAGGCATAACTCTCAATTGGAGAACCGACATCTTCCACCGCACAATGCTTACGCAACACATTGCGGCGCTCCAAGACCCCTTAAGCCACCTTGCGCCACCTCGGGTTTGCTTACACTTTAATGTTCTTATGACGGGTTTCCAACTAAACAACTGCAACACGAAAGAAAGGTTTCTTGTGCCGCTCACGTCCCAGGGGATGGGCTTACATATCATCAAGTCCAGGGAAGTGGAAGTCCAAAACATTCCGAAACCACCTAAAGAACATTAGAAAGCCCAAAAGCTGTCAAAATCAGGTGCCCCATCTTCACTGAAGCCAGAGTTTTTCGACTTGTCTAAGCTTTTTTGACTTGTGTAAACCATTGGAAACCATGTTGATGGATTTAGAATTTAGATGGAGACACCATGCCATTTACCGTGGCCAAAACCTTCATCTGCCAAGTGACAAGAAAGGGCGGACCAGCACCACCCTGCACATCGCATGGCAAAGTTCTTTCAGGAATTCCATGGAATTCCTTGATTTTTTCAACACTTGATTGGGGGATACAATATGAATCAACATGATACAACCCAGCTAACACAGAAATCCAGTCCCTTCAGGAATCACCGGCCATGATGCCATGACATCCCCCTGGCTCCTCCGGCATACAGTTCCGGAATCTCAAGCAATTCTCCTTATAAGCGTTCAAAGCCTCGAGCCGAAGACAGCCGAAGGATTCGCAGTTTCTCCAAAAGAGAAGTCCATCAGATTGTGATGTGGATTTTGAGGTCTTGACTAATGCTGAAAACATGGATTTTGTGTATCTGGGTTGATACAATTACAAGGATTCCAAGGCCGAAAGAAGTCCATCTTCATTGGACGCTTCCCATTCGCCATTCAATGCATGCTATCCTCCAAGGCCCAGATGCCACCAAACATCCCATGGGGGGCCGGCTTCAAAGGAGAACATGACTCTATTGGTCTATTGATATGTTTTGCATCCTGTCGGTTTCAATATTTGGTGCCCCATATGATGGATGACCAACCATGAAAAACATCTGCAAGTCTCCAAGCCAAACTTCCACCAAGTGCCAGACAAAGTCCAAGAAGCCCGATTGTCTATCCTGAGGCATCCACAAATTGTCAACGTCAATCAACATCCATCGGTGGTTGAACCATCAAAAGTGACTGGGGTCAATTGCGATCAGCATCCCTGACATTGGGTTCCCAATTGCGGTTTCAACCACCACTCCAGCCGAGGCACAAAAGATAGAATCGAATTGATGACATTGATGCCGCAAACCTGTTTGGGTGGATGTCCCAGCCATGAACGGAGGCTCGTGAAAAATGTCACCTGATGGTTTAGAAAAAACCCATAAAAAGGGTGACTTGGGGTATGGTTTATCTTTGGGTTTATACAGTACCACAGATTTATATAATCATTATATGCAAAAAGTTCAAACATGCAAATATATTCTGCAGTCTGGGTGGTACCCCAAGTTTTTTAGAATTACACCCCCTATCTCTACAAACAGCGGTACATCCAGCACCTTGTGCGTCACAAAGGGCCATCTGAAGAGGTCACCATAGTCCGCGAAGGGTCGGTCCGGCACGAAATCTGTATCCATGTAGATGCCTGAATGTTGGGGGAAAACATGGAACATGGGTGTCTTTTCCCCTGGTTTTGGGACATCTCCATGGGGAAAATGATGATTTTACCATGGGATTTTGATATATACGCATGTTCAGACCCACATCAGGAGCATGGCCATGAGTCCCCTGATGTCCCTGATGTCGCTGGCACCCCGACCTCCGTAATGGAAGAGCGTCTCCAAACGCGCCACATCCGACATCCCAGCGCACTTGTGCTTGTGGGCCGGATTATGACCTTAGATGAGCCAGCCCTCATGACCTTCCTGGTTGATCATTAACAAGCCCTTGAAACAATGCTTAAAAAATCTTAAAAACACCTTATTGCTAGGGGGTCAGGTCACCTTTGGGTTGGATGAATTCCCTGGATTTTTTTGCAACGGACCGAAAATTCGACCTAATGGCAACTGCGTCGATGAGGTACCAATGGTATTCACAGGTCTATGTCAGATCCAATATGTGTGTAGTCATCCCTTCCCTCAAACTACGGGGGGCATATGGGTTATTATGGGTTCCCCCGAATGACTAGACGATCCAATACTTTTCGGACACTTTCCAGGCTTTAAACTTTAAACATTAGGGGCAAAGCTACTTGAGGCTGCTACTGATGTTGTCCATCCACCTCAAAATGTCCATGGTGCGGAAGATCTCGCCATAGGATTTCAGATAGTGGACCTCAGCTGCAGTTGAGATGACCTCTGCTCAGGATTTTCATGACAATTTCACGGGTCTAAAAAAGTGACTCTTGAATTGGCAACATTGGTGATTTTGCGGCTCCAAAGGGCTTTAGAATGTACACTGCCAGAAAAAAAGTCGGGCACGCCTCGAACAGGATTGCTGTAAGAGAAAATTTGCAACATCAGGAAACCATAACTGGTTGGTGGTGCAATAACCATCTTGAAAAATATGAGTTCGTCAATGGGAAGGATGACATCCCATATATGATGGAAAATAAAAGTCATGTTTGAAACCACGAACCAGATCTATTTTAATATGGTCTTCCACTATAAACCATCCAACTATCCAGATAATTGTCACTATCAAATTAGCATCAAATAGCGGTCAACAATTCTGGGCTCCAACGGTGTTTGGGAGTCCTCCATCATTGTCCCAGGTGCTATGATGCTTCCAGCTGGACGCTTTAAGACCTGGCTGGCTTCCAACGATCGAGTTCTCCAAAGGATATCGATTAGTAGTGATTAATAGTGATTAATAATGACTAGTATACATGATACATATATATATATACAATTATACATGTATAAATATTTATATATATAATTATATCAATACAAATCACAGTACTCGCAATCAGAAAGATGGCTCGCATCAGTTACTTGCTTTTACTGTTCATTCTTTGGCAGGTGGCCACTCCCGATGATAGTCGCTACTCTCTGGCATTCTTCGGCCATTTGGTTCGCTGATTTTCCCAGCTATAAACCTCCATTTTGCTTCCGGATTTCCAACCAACCATGTTTGATTGCCAAAGAGCACGTGTGCCCTGGTCAAGAGATGGCATACGGTTTATGGTCATCCGTCATCAACCGTCCCATAGTAAGAATATGTAAGAATCCTATAGAATCTTTACAATGGGTGTACATAAATCCCTATTGATGGATGGATGACCATCTCTTCTTATGCGAAAACAACCTATGTTTTGATCACGGCGCAGGCCGCAGGCAGCCCAGCCTCTGGTGAATTCATGAAATCCACCTGCGTTCACCAAAGCACAACACGAAGCAGCAAGCCCCAGGGCAAACAAAGGAGTCCAAAGCAAACCAAACCAAACAAACTCCATACAAAATCATATCTGTACAATTTTCTCTCTGCTGTGGGGAATTACTTTTTACACTATTTAAAATATTCAAATATTCTATTTGCATACTACTGGGTTTCGCATATTCTATCTGTATGTTACCTAGTATAAGAAAAAGCACTGGAAGAAAAGAGACCCAGAGTAGCGCTCTCACACAAACACATTGAACATGTTGTTACATGTTGTTAACTACTGCATGTCATTTTCTATGCATTGTGTCACTTGTGTCCGAAGATCCGGACCTCAAGCCTCCCCATGATCCATGGCCGCCATGGCCTCACTTTGATTCGGGGCAACATCCACCAGAACCATCACCTCGCGCGCAAGCCAAGCAGCTTCAAGCAGCTTCAATCGAAGAAAATCTCACCTTGTAGGTGGGATTCATCAATGCGAAGTCCACAATCCTCTTGGTGATGTGCTTAGGCAGGGGACCTAGGTGCGGATTGCAAAGGGAACAATACTGCGGCTGGGGTCCGAGTATAATTGAGTATAATTCTGAAACATTACTACCTGAAAGTATCAAACTTGGAACATCTTGGAACCCCAAAAACTACCTTTACATTATTTTACATTACTATACCTGGGCTTGTCAGTAAAGGAACGCCATAGCGGGTTGATCGGCGCCGAGGATCCTGAGGATCCGGCTGCAGAACCACAAGAAATGCAGAATCTTCGGAACTCCCTTGATACAAGACCTGAGCGATGCTCGATGCTCCAAAGCCCTTGGATGCCCAAATGGTGAAAAACTTGATGCTGTTGCCATTCAAGGTCATAGAGTCATACACGGTTTAACATGTTTGACTTACCAAAAAAAAACATAGAATCATGGAATGCATGAGCCGTTCAAGCTGGTGAGATACGGTGAGCCCTGGAGCATTCTCTGGAACTGGATCGAAATCATTCCAACCTATCCAAAACAAAATATAGTACAAACAAAAGAAAAAAAATTAGGGATTACAATCGAACACCAAATAAAAAAAAACACCTCCTTTGCTGAGAATGAGACTTGCTCTGCTCCGGCATCGGCTTTTTGGGATCCTTTCGTTGTCGCTCCGGGGTTCAGTCGAGAAAATCACTACATTGTCACGACATAGTCTTTCCGCCCAAAATGAAAACTCAAGGTTCCAAGGTGAGTTATTTCCCGGCATCTGGCATCTGAAGCATGGCACAGATGCGCGCGTCAAAAATGCTGCTGAGAATCCAGTAAGCCAGTGTGCGGATGCCCCACCTCCGTGATTAGCTGTGGGGAAACCAATCGTGTTTGGGGTAGCCTTACAGCAAGTGATGTTGCTGAGAATCACCCAGTGCTGGTTCACCAACCATTTTCAAATATCTAATTCCATTACTGCAAATCCATGCATCTCCATGCGTAAATCCCAAACGTGATCACTGCTTATTGGTGAACACCAATGTTCCATTTGTTGTCGGATGTTTACATGAAAAAAACATGGATTTTCTAACTAACCAACCAGAATTAACGAAAATTAAGCATAATCAACCATAATTAACATTAATTAACAGTAAATAACCATCATTAACCATAAGCAACCATAATTAACATCAATTATATAACTATAATTAACCGTTTTTAACCACAATTAAGCCATAACTAACCATAGTTCACCATAATTAACCATAATTAACCATAATTCACCATAATTAACCATAATCAACCATAATTATATAACATTAATTAACATTAATTAACCATCCATAATTAACCGTCATTAACCAGAAGTAACCATAATTAACATTAATTAACCATCCATAATTAAACATCATTAACCAGAAATAACCATAATTAACATTAATTAACTATAATTAACCGTCATTAACCATAATTAAGCCATAATTAACCATAATAAACCATCATTAACCATCATTACCATAATTAACCAAAAGGAACAATAATTAGCATTAATTAACAATAAATAACCATCATTAACCATAATTAACATAATGAACATTAATTAACTATAATGAACCATCATTAACCATATTTAGCCATCATTAACAATAATTAACGATGATTAACCATAATTAACGATAATTAACCATCATTAACCATAATTAACCATAATGAACATTAATTAACTATAATGAACCATCATTAACCATATTTAGCCATCATTAACGATAACTAACGATGATTAACCATAATTAACGATAATTAACCATCATTAACCATAATTAACCATACATAATTAACCATCATTAACTATAATTAAACATCATTAACCATACTTAACCATAATTAACCGTCATTAACCATAATTCACCATCATTAACTATAATTAACCATCATTAACTATAATTAACCATCATTAACCATACTTAACCATAATTAACCATCATTAACCATTATTCACCATCATTAACCATCATTAACTATAATTAACCATCATTAACCATCATTAACCATAATTAACCATCATTAACCATAATTCACCATCATTCACCATAATTAACCATCATTAACCATAATTAACCATCATTAACTATAATTAACCATCATTAACAATAATTCACCATCATTCACCATAGTTAACCATCATTAATTATACTTAACCATCATTTTAATCATCATTGACCATCATTAACTATAATTAACCATCATTAACCATAATTCACCATAATTCACCATAGTTAACCATCATGAATTATACTTAACCATCATTAACCATCATTAACTATAATTAACCATCATTAACCATAATTCACCATAATTCACCATACAGTAGTTAACCATCATCAATTATACTTTACCATCATTAACCATCATTGATCATCATTAACCATAATTAAGCTATAATTTTCATCTTTCCAGCATGGCGCCTTCACGGCTCGCCAGAGGAGCACTGAGGTGGGCTGCGCAATGGGGCGACCTCGAACTTCGACTTCGAACGGTGAAAAACAGGGAGGAATAACGAGCATGGCGATGTTTGATATATTATATGGTTTTATTGTATTACAAGTGTTATTTATATATATATATACGTTTATTGTGATATTATTGATATTATATTATACATTCTGTTTTTCTGATGGTTATGATCACAATATATCACAATTATTGTCAGTGCTTATCATTATTCGTTGCACTGCATTTGTTGTTTTTTGAGTGTTATTGCTAGGATCACTATCATTAACATATTTGTTATGAGATTGAGCTTGTGTACACAAAAACATCCTTAACAAACTTGTAGAAATTAGAAAATGCTTGGTTGTACTACTCTCTTGTAATTTGTTACCTAGCTATGGAAGCCATGACCATTTGGTTCAATTCATTAAGCACATTGCCACCAGGCACGAGCGAGAGCCAATTGCAAAACTAGACCACGGACCATGCCAGACATTTAGCGTCTACTTTTGGGGGGACCAGGGCGGGACTTGGGGAAGGGGACTCGGAAAAGCGGAGAAGGACTTGGGCCCACACTAAAGCAGGGACGGGGATTGTAGATATCACATTTCTATGGTTAAATGTAAAGAATCAATGATAGTCCCTTCCTCTGCCTCTGTATTCAATACCCCTTGTGGGTGAATATGTTTGAGCCAGTCTCATATGGAGATGGGTCAAGCTAGGGAATATCTTACATTACAAGATGGTAATGTGAAAACCCAAAAAAAACCTTTAGGATGGCTGGGGATGGTTATGTATCATTAATGGACAAATGTATATCATGTGTGTATGCATATATGGAATGGTTACGTCTATGTCCATGTCCATGTCTATGTCTATATATGTGTGCAGTTGAAGATATATTCATTTAGTTGAACTATCATGAAATATGAATGAACATACACCTGTATAATTTCAAACATTTGAACCTGTATAATATAGATTATATTTGTCCACGGGAGTAACATACATGCGACACCAAATGGAACACATCCTGAACAAAGTACCATAGAAGAGTGAGAAGCCCACGCATGCGGGCTGTGGGTCGGCATGGCGTGCACATCCTCATCTGAACCCTCAAACAACTAGGACAGAGTTTTGAATTTAAAAAATACAAGACAATATAAGAAAACTATGCACAGGCAAAAACATATATTAAAATATGCTTGCTGTAGAAACAACTCCGTGAAACCGACCAACGGCAGTTTTTGGATTCTTTCCGCCAAAATTGCTTTAACACTCCTTGATTGATATATATATATATATAAATACAATCTATAGATATCTATATATACAATCTATAGATATCTATAGTAATCCCCAAAAGATAGAAAAGTCATTTACCAGTATTGAAGTAGTAAGGATTTTACTTTTAGTGGTTAAGTTGCTATATATGTACAGTATCTATCTATATATATATATGACATATGATATGATACATGAACTATCTTTGAATATCTGAGCAATCCACCAATTTTGTCGCCTTGCCAATCATCCTGGGGAACAGTCTTTTGAGGGGTGGAGATGTCCAAATGTCATTCAGGATACAATTCATGATTCTCCTGTGAGGTCCAAGTCTGATCAAGTCTTGGATCTGAAAAAAACTGTTGCGCGCAAAGTAAATTGAAAAATGGTTCCGAGTAAGGCACGCCTCTGACTGGTTCTTGTCTCCCTGAACTTTTCTGACCACGGAAGCCAGAGAGAATCATTTCATGAATGTCTCTTACAGGTCTCTCCCACAACCTTCACTGTTCAATCATCAGTCCTGGTCTGTACACTTTGCAGGGGTCTTGTGACCAGCAGTCCTACCAGGTAGCATGAAAATCATCCAAAGCGATCGATTGCCCGGGAAAACTTGGCACCAAGATAGCCTAGAGTTGATGATTCCATTCCAAACCTTGTAGCATTGCCAATTTGGTGCCTACCAAACTCACCCTTTTTGGGAACATCCAAGCCTCGACTCTTGCGCTTTCAAAAAGACCAGTCCTCTCCGGCATATTGAGGAAGGTAACCTGTCAGGTGGCGTCTTAGGTGGCCACTGGTTTAAGTTTATCGATGGTTTCCCCATGAAAATTCAAATCATGTTCGGGGCTACATCACCCGTTTTTGGACAACCCCAAATATCATAGTTTGGGGTGTATATATAATTAAATATATATATATAATTATATGTATAATTATATATATATATAGATCCGCCGACCCCGGCCTTCACCAAGGCAGGGGCGGCGTCTGGGACCACCGCAGGTGTGGAGCCTGTTTTTGTATCCCTACCCCTATAGAGGGGGAGGGCGGGGGGGGGGGACAAAACCAAGCTGTCGAATTCCATTTTTTTGCTTGGAAACCCTGGGATCGGATAGTGATCCAACCCCTCAAATGGAATTGTAAAGTAATATTTCTTAACAAGCCTTGGGCACTGGTTAGAAAATACTTGCGCTTAGCTCCGGAGGAGCTAAGCGCAAGTATGATGACGGCGGCGCAATTTTTGGAGGGATGCCATCCCTACATATGTGCTGCTTCAGTCTGACATGTGCTTAGCTCCTCCGGAGCTAAGCGCAAGTATTTAATTTTCATCTGCTTGCCAATGACATGGAATGATGAATGAGGAATAATTGAGAACGCATGATTGCAAAAATTGAATTTTAAAATGAAATTTCAGTACGACTCCCCCCCCTCAAATTCCATTTTTAAGAGGGTAGGGATGTTTTTGTTGGATTGCCACTACCTTGCCGTTCGCCAGCTCCAAAACCCTCCACTCAGGCCACTGCCCTCTGTTGTTACGGGCCTTCAAGCCTGCCGTTTGCCAGCCGTCAAGCCACTGCCCTCTGTTGTTAAGGGCGTTCAAGCCTGCCGTTTGCCAGCCC